TCCGGACGGATTACATGACAGCACCGGTCACTCTTGTGGCCACATCAGACAACCGTACGGGGCACCCGGCTCACGTCCGCACTGTGAGTGTCAGTACTTCCTGGGAGCACCGACGGAGGAGACGGTCCAGACATCGGGAGCCTCATCGGCGTCGATCTCGCAGTCACCACCGGCGTCCTCCTGACCAACCTGACGATGCGGCTCCCACGTCCCGCCGCCGTGTCGGCAATCCGAAGTACCCGCCGGCAGTCAAGGCCATGCCGGCGTGTAGACCATCAGGTCTGTCGTATGGCCGTTGACGGAACACCGGCGGCAAAAGGACCTCAGTATTTCGGCGCATGCATGTTCACGAGCATCATGTCTTCGCGGTTCCGCAGCCTTACTTGCTTGATTTGTCCTTGCGGTGTGCTCATTTGCCATGCTGTTGTCAGTCGAGTTTGTGAATAACCTGGTGGCGGTACTCAATGTCCTTGCGTCCCAAGTTGCGACAGCTCTGGACACCCTGAACTTTGCCCTGATGACCGAGCGAGACCACCCGTCAGACACCAGAGTGTCCCCCAGGGCACCACGCAACTCCAGGCATGGGCTGCGCCCTCGCATCATCACAGAGCGCATTTCGTCTGACCGATCCCGCTCTCCTACTCGAATTCGAACCCGCCCTTTGGACACTTCATCCACCTGGTATATACCGGCCTTATCCCCGCCTCCTGCGGCACATCGGGATGCCGCAGACAACACTTCTGGTCGTCGGCCTGAATCGATGTTGGATCACCTGCCACCACCACGGCCGCTTGCTTCCCTACCCCCACACGGCGGACGCGAACCGGGACAGAGGACGCCCACGACACCGGACTCGGATTCTGATGATTCAGTGCATTCACATCCAGGCGCCTCGTCGTTCCGACCGTCTCCTACGGTGGTTCATGGACCTCGGGAACTTCTACAAGATTTCACCATTGCACTTCGCAATGCACACCGGGAACCTTTCACGGCATGGACACAGGGTGAGCTGGATGAGTTGGTGCGACGGAAGAAAGACAAGGATTCCAGACCCACGTACAAAACCATTGCTCGGTTCCTTCAGAAGCCCATTGAGGAAGTCAAGCAGGCGTGGAAGGTCTATCAGCAACTTGAGGCTCGCGGCTAGGAACCCGGTCATCTAATGCACCAGCGACCACAGGAGGATTAAATGGTAGACCGTGGCGGTGTATTCTGTTAGCGCTGCAGGTTGTCATGACGGTTGGGATTGTTGTCATTACTGACCACATGAGATTTGCTTGCTTGCACTTGTATGGCATTTCACCAGTGTAATATTGCCAGCCGTCGTGGGTGTTGCAGCTGATTTGAATTGAATGCATGACAGAGTTGCTCAAATCATGTCGGAACAAGTCGTACAGACGTACATTACTTGGACCCATGGAGCGCAACCGACGTGGCTACAGTTTCACGGACCTGGTGCCCTGTTTGACAGACCCATTCGGCAGACTACGTCACCTCCGCCCCCTCCAAGTTTCCCACTACTTCTTCCACCTCCGCCTCCACCACCGCCACCACCACCGGTGATTCTACACCCACAGTATATGCCCTCAGTGCGGAACCCCTCGATCTCGGCTCCTCGCGGACAATCCTGCCCTGCCACATCGAAATCGCAGCGCACACGCCGCTCGATCTACAGCACTGACCATTCCCGTGATGAAGATCTACGCAGTCCAGGGCGTTCATCCAAACGATCTCGGACAGCATCCGCTACAGCACCGCGGAGATCTCGGCGGCCCTTCACCGTGTTTCCCTCCAAACGTGCTGCTCGTCCATCTCTGTCCCCATCGGCAAACTGCAAGCATTACTGTCATGCCTTCCTGCGCCATGGGCGGAAATGTCTTTCACCTTGTGCTCGCAGACGACCAGGACATTATCATTGCAGGTGTGCGCGGCATCAGCGGCGGTGAAGCTTAGGCGTCGAATAGGACAAACCTCGCTGCTGTGTATCACTTTGAGTTTGAAAAGTTGCTTTTCATTGCCTTGATCGACACTTCAAGTGACTCAGCTGTGCGCGGTTGTCATTGCATGTGTGTCTTTGCCGCAGAGTTTCGATTGCTTCTAGCGGCCGCGCGATTGCCTGTCTTGCCACTATGAACCCTCAATATTACGAGTAGCAGATCGACCGAGGAGTGGAATGGATTCGAATTTACTCACCGGGCACGTGGCGACCCGTCCCCGATGATGTTCCAGTGGTTCCCCCGATTTACGCTTCCACGTATCGGGAGTGGCGCAGGTCATATCGCTTTCAAGTGTACTGGTCCGAGGACAGCGCGGGAGGAACAACCGCGGAGCCCATCGTCACGCCCACCTCGTTTGTGTCATACCACGTGTGGGAGTATCGAGACTGGCAAACACGAGGGTATCAACGACTTGGAGCACCTCAACCAGCCATTGGACCCGCGACACTCGTGAATGCAGACGTCAATTCCTCGGGGGACTCATCGGTTCCGGATGGGGCGTGGCGAGAGCCGTCACCACCACCATTCTATGATCCTTGGAACGATTCGGAGTGATGCTTGGGCAACATGTTGGATAAACTGTCGCGGTTTTGCCTGCCTTTTGCTTGATTCCATGTCGGGTTGTCTTGCATGGTGTTGTGTGTTCCGTCTTCCTTTGTCCGCCGCTTTCATTTGACTTTGAGCGTCTCGCCTGGTTGATATGTTCAACTGTACAATGCATTGCGCAGCACGATGGGTCCTGCCTCGCTACTTTGACTATGACATCGTCAATGGCCCCGCGAATACGAGTGTGGAATGGATTCGGATCTATGTACCAGGTCCGTGGCATCCAATCGCCGAGAACACCTTGGGACCAGCCCCGGATGACTCAACCACCTATCGGGAATGGCGCAAAGTTTACCACTTCGAGGTGTATTGGCCGCGGGATAGCACAGGTGGCACCAATACAGGTGCTGTTTCACAGCCGGTCTCTTATGCATCCTTCTATACTTGGCACTATCGAGACTGGGTCACCAGAGGATATCAACGGCTGGGTCGTCCACACCCTAGCATTGAGCGGCCAGTCTTCGCTTCGGGTGCACCGGACCTCATGTACGCTGGATTGACCCCTTCGTCGGCTTCCTCCAGCTCGGATGGTGGCTGAAGCTCGTCCTCACCTTCTTGGGAGTCTGTTCAGTTTAATTCGATTCAGGAGAGTGACTTCGACACCGGAGCCGTGCATTGCTACAAAAGTGTTTTCTTGCACTGTTGTTGTTGTGTCTCTGTCAGTAATTGTTCTCTGCAGCCGTACACCTATCAATTTGTCTTTCCGGGTTTGAGTTGTCATGCCGTGGCTGGAGTGGTGTCCTGATCCTCAACAACCAGATGCCCAGTGGGTCAAGGTCTTTCATCCGGGATCATGGACTCCACATCAAGAACATGATGCTCCACCTCCACCGCACACATATCGAGAGTGGAAGGAGTTCTATGCACCAAACCCGGTCCGTGACGGTGAGCAGCCCAATGTCACCATGTGGTACAAACGCGACTGGGCCACGGAGGGCTATCGGAGAGTCGCTGCCCCTCAAGCTGGTCATGACTCTGATTCTATGTCTTTTCCTGATCATCACAGCGTGTCCACGCAATCCGCAGCATTGAGTATTTCACCGCTGATGTTAGAAGCGATCCTTCGATCCTCGGATGCGGCGGCTTTCTCTACCGAGGATCTGACTCGTCTCCATGAGGGGATCTCTCAGCAACTCACAGTTCGCGCACGTCACGCTTCCCAACTACATCAACCGGTACGTGCATCTCGTGGAATCACACCATCAGAGACTGTTGGGGTCTCTGACCCATACCGGCCTGTTAATCCTCCCGACAGCAGCAAGGCCAAGGTGAAACCTATCTTCGAGCTCAATGAGGACTAGACTCACGCGAGTGGCACAGCGTACAAAATAAGGGTGGTCTTTACATTGGCATGACCTTGCTTGGTTGTTGCTTGTACATGGTTAAGCATGATGCCTGTTCCTTTATCAGCTGGATCGGACCCCGTGATACGCCTTGCATCTTACTTCGACATGGACATCGAGGATTCGAAGCAGCACCCATGGCTCGAATACTCGGTCTGGCAGAATCAGGAGTGGGTGCGAATCTACACTGCAGGACAACCTCGGCGATGGCACCACGGAGACACTGTACCTGATCTACCAGACAATTCCTTTCGGGAATGGCAGTGGGTGGCTGAACCCAATGGGCGTACTGGTGAGCACGGTCAGGCATGGATTATCCGCGACTGGAAGCATCAGGGATACCAGCGCATTCTGTCTCGAATGGAGTCCTTCACAACCCATCATTCGCATGATCATTCTCTTGGTGAAGGTCGGAATTCCGATGACATTCCAGTTGAAGAGACGTTCACCTATGCTACTCCGTTTTCTGGTGGTGATCGCTCGACTGCATCACACTTCGCTTCAGTCCTCTATGGCGACACTCGTGATGCTCAACGTGACGATCTCTCGTTCCCGTCTTCTGAGCGGTTTAGGGCTGTTTCCCGCTCCCCTCGCCGCGGTGGAATTTTTGGTCAACGATAGGGACACAAGGTTGAGCATGTGATCTTCCTGCAGAAAAGGAGACTTCTCGCCCCTCATTGAGGGGCGTGTGTGTGCGGAGTGACAGAATGCCCTGTCACCACTATGAGTAGCAGGGGGCACGGCGCCTGATTTCCAAGCCGTGCCAACGAAGCTACGGAAATCGGGTGGAGGAGATGCTGGACGCAGCATCTTGTACCTGCATCAGTGATTCTGAATGTCTATTTGGCCCCCTTGGTTGCGGCGCTGTTTGTGCTTCTTGTTCTTTCCAGTAACGTTTTCGTTTCTAAAGTGAAGCCAAGTGACTTGCGAGCAGAACTCAGCCGAGACTCATCAGTTGTACTCGAGACTCATCAGTTGTACTCGAAAGATTAGCACCCTCCATCTGGAGTTTAAGTGTGTGTGTGTTCTGGTTTTTGTCCCGATGGACGCTGAGGCGGGGGTGGTGGAGTTTGACAGCGAGCAGTTCACAGAAGGAGATCATTTGGCCATCATCGACTGCATGACCTTTGTTCCAGAGCAGCTGTGCTTGCAGTTCTGCGTGACCCCCAGAGACATGGATTCTTGCAAATGGAATTTCTATCCGCAAGTTTGCCTGCTCTTGTGGTGATGTTTGAGGCACCAGTTTGCACATCAAGGGGAGGGACGTAAATCCCGACATTTGAAGAAGCGATCACTCACTAAGTATCTTGCAAAAAGGGGGGGGTCCTACACCATGTAACACCTAGAGGCAAAAGCAACAATGAAGCTAAGAAGCTAAGAAGCCATGAAGCTATGAAGCATAGAGTAACTACTAAATCCTACTATCATCTCTATAGCTTTAACGAGGGGGGTAGCATCTGTATTGAGTTTCCTGTGGTTTCCCTTCTTCAGAGATCATGTACTTCTACTCTTGGGTCTTTGGAGGAAATGTTGGGCGAATGAGATAGATCTCGGGGCCAAAGGATCCAAGTTCCACCTTTCTGCGCTAAAAAAGGAACAAAGTGGTCAAGTAATACCCTCCGACTAACGTGCAAGTGCACAGACCCCGGGAGTTGGTGGTGGGGTCAATGCCCTTCAAATCGGCCATGTCCTTACTAAAAGGGGAACCCGTCCTCTGGACTAACCCAAGTCAACAGTACCTTGCCTAGAACATAGTTGGGCCCTGGCTATCAAAAGCGATCACAGCACCAATGGCTCATCCCACCGATAGTGCCCCGAAGTGAAGCAAGAGGTCCTGAAGTGTAAGGAGATGTCCCTCTGCAACTTGGGTTGGGCTTCTTGGCGATTTTGGGGTGGGAGGGGGGGGGCATTTACGCAGGCCGGTTTTCTATTTGGAGCGATTCATGATGTCAGAGTGATTCACTAAGATTCGTAGCTGCCAGAGACCAATTTACTTTCAAGGAAGTTGGGGCTGCGCATGTAAAGCTGTCGCCTTATGGCGTACCTTCGCCTGTAGGTTGATGGTTTATTCCGGATTCTCCAGAGAGTGATCACTCCACATGCCACCAGGCTGCTTTTCAAGAGAGACATTCTAAAACGGCTCTCATGCAGAACCCCGGGCTGATCCAAGACTGAAAACGACCAGAGAGAGTCGAAGGGTCGGCGTTCGACTTCGTTCCGTTTTGCGTTTCATGCGAAATCTCTGACCCGAGAGTCCTTGGAGCACCGGGCTTTCTGGGGATGAGGTACATCCCCGTGCTGAAAGCCCTGGAGAAGCAGCGGGACTCGACGCTTCCCTTCCAGGACGGCTGGCTCCGTGGGTTGGGGCTCCCGATTGCAGACCCCCGTTTGGCGACGCAGCCAGGCCGCACTTTTCGCGGCTTGTTTTTGGGACCTCGGTTTGGAGGAACTGCACACGTCGGCAGGCGGGCACGAGCAAGGATCATCCCTGAAACTTTTCAATCACAACAGCCGGAGCCCATGAGGAGACCACCCGCAGCCCGCTCGCCAATGTAATGCTTTAGAGATCGAGGAGCAGGGCAAACCGGACAAAGGTCAGCCAGTATGATCGCCTCTTTTTTGTTGCAGAGGGTGCCGCGACTCCTAGTAGGCAGGTTTATGCGGGCCCTTCCCATACCGCTGAAAGAAACGAACATCTTGCGTGCCTTGGGGTTGCGTTGAACGCATTCCTTTGCGTTCCTTTCGGCGCTTGTGGCAGCCAGACTGCGGTTCGAGACTTCTCTGTCGGCTGCTTATAACGACGGCCGCGAAGGCACTCCGTTTTTTTTTGCTTTTGGGCCCGCTTCTTTGGCTGCCCGCGAAGCTAGCCTCTCGCTTCGATGGCTTTCCCTGCAGATGGCGCCTGATTCGGGCCTGCTGGCCGCGCCGACCAATCGCAGCGCGTGGACTTGGGCGTGCACGTGACCCCATTTCTGGGACGTGGGACCGAAACTATGACAGTGCATTTGTTGCCCGTGTGGAGTTGCGGACGTAGCCCGCTAGGCGCCTGGCGCAAAGCGATCTATTTGTTGGAAGTTGTGCAACTGGCCTCTTGCCTATTTGCGATCGCGCGTGCCACGCGCTGATGTGGAGCCGCGCAGTCTCGCCAGCGGCAGCAAGAGCAACACTGGATGTATGTTTGCGCAGCTTGTTTGGTCCTTGCATAATATCTTTTGCATTTTGGCCGCTCGAGTGTGTTCGGAGTGGGCGAGCAACGGTTTCCACCCACCGCGGGGGCTCTGGTCTCTTCTTCTGTTTTTGTTTTCAAGGGCTTTTGGCAGGGGCGTTGAAAGGATCTGAGGCGAAACGCTTCTTCACCACTATGGGCACTTCAGGGTTTTTCTCAAGAGTAGGGCGCCCTGGTACGAGTGTACACTAGCTGCAATGATTGGCCTTTTTGAGCATTCGCAAATAGGCGGTGGTATTGGGTAACGGTTAGTTGCCCGGACAGCATAAGACCTGGTCGCACCACCCAAGTTGGCCAGCCGTCCCGTGGAAACCTCAAAACCGTGCGACTGAGCATTCGCAAACCGGCGCCAACTCCAATCCCAGAGTCGGGTAGATCCTCGCCCAAGCTTGCAGCCTCGCTCGTGAGGACGGCGCTTTGTTGAACCTGTGCGTTTGGAACCGGCCCATCGGCAACACCATGGCGGAAGATCAGGACATGACGCTTGGTGTGCAGTGAGCAGTGGCCAGTGTAGAGGAAGGTTCCAGGCATGCTCCTATGCCATGCGTGGTTACTTTTGGGACGATTTTGACGTACCGAATGTTGACCAGAATCCCCGAAATCATTTTTCAAGGGGCGGGGGTGGGGGAAAAAATGGAGAAAGTAGGGGGCCTGGGGGGTGGTCTGTTGATGGTCCCCTGTTATGTTTTTTATATTCATCTCAAACCTATTAACCACCTTATTCGTTTTTAAAAGAGGGTTTTCGGGGAGCTTATTTATCGTTTTCGTTAAGGTAATCATTTGGGTAAATTGTCGCCTTGTTCATTGTTGGGCTGGGGGCCGACATTTTTTTCATTTGAAAGAGGTAGCCCTTTTAGTAGTTATCAAGTTCTGAGGTGTTGGTGGTGTATTTGTTTTGTTAGTGTTTTTCTCACTAATTTTCATTTATAGGTTAAAAGTTCAGTATAATTATAACATATAAGATTTTACATGTTATTATTATATTATGATTATAATTTCAGTTCAGGATAATAATCTAATTGGTTTGTCTTACTTCTTTCATACATCATTTTAAAAATAATATTAACATCTCTCACTGTATTCTGAACATTAAACTTTTTACTTTCAATAAATAATTTGATATTTTCTTTAACATCTTCTCCTTTCTCTTGACTATAACCCAACATCCATAATATATCATCAATCATTTCATATTTTTTTCTTACTGATTTTAAGAAACTGTTTAACACAATCGTAAGGTGGTATTTTATTTACAGTTAGAAATATTAAAATATCATCTTCTACATTTCTATTATGTATTCTTTTTATTCCCAACAGACATTTGATTAAAAATTGATTATCTCTCCAAGTTTTACAATTTTTACATATGTCTTCTTCACCATCCATTGAATAATTAATAATATTATTCACAATTTCATTAGGTAAACTCAATTTATACAATTCCATATTTTCTTTTTTGAAGTGACAACAATCATAGCATTTTTTATCGATATAATTATTGATTCCATCACCGTTCATTTTTCTCTTAATATATAAGGTAATATTTCTTTAAGTAGTTTTGGCTAGGGGGTTGCTGGTCGGCTGGTCTGGGTTTCAGGTTTAATTTAAATGTCTTAACCTTCTTGATAGATTATAAAACACTGTTTAATCATATTATAATTAAATATTATGAATAAACAAACATCATATTTCATAATTATTAATTGTATGGGTTTCAAATTTGATAAAGTCTATCATCACAAGTGGTCTATTGACTAATCTTATTGTACCCTTTATTTCTTTCACCATCTTTTCTATTGTGATTAGGAGTTCTTCTTTACTTTTCAAGGTATATTGATTGGATGGCATATTACATTTTCCAATAACTGAATCATAATTAAGTTTTACTCTAACATGCATTTTAATCTTTATTTCATCGCTATATCTTATTAGGCTCATAAACTTTTCTGATGGGGCAAACGCGTAAGAAAACGCCTTATCGCCTTTTAACTTTTTGTTGTGTATCTCGTGGTTATACGTTGTAATTGACTTTTCTGGAGTTTTACGTCGGCTGACTACATCATTACTAATAGAAGGTTTCCATGTCCTTTGTAATTCTCTTAAAGCATCACATTGTTTCAGTCTTCGCCACCCTTCACTACCATTAATGTAAGTAGTGATGATTGAAACTAAACCGTCAGGTAAGCTAGCATAATTCTCAACCATAAAATTATTCTCTGACATTTTACCCTCACTCAATTTTCTCTTTATATATAAGGTTTTTTCTCTTTAAGTAGTTTTGGCTAGGGGTTGCTGGTCGGCTGGTCTGGGTTTCAGGTTTAATTTAAATGTCTTAACCTTGTTGTTAGATTATAAAAACTAGGTTTAATCATATTATAATTGAATAATATCATTAAACTAAATCACTCACGCTTTCCATTCACCTATTCCATCCCACCAGAATTCAATAATTCGCATCTGTCCATCTACTAGACTGTCTTCTTTGTTTAGTTTCCGTATCGCTCCTGATAAGATATAGTGGTTAATAATCATTGCATTAAACTTTCCATCACGGTTTAACTTTTTACCACAGTCTTTTATGATGTCTTCATCTGTTAGGTTTTCATACATTTCTTTCATGATGTCAAACCTAACAAATGAGTATATCGCCATCAAGTTTAATCCGCTATTATCCCTAAACCTGCTAATGACATCTTTCCAGAATTCTTCGTTTTCATCAACTGGTGGCAAAGGGTGTCTTTTGATGAAATCCTTTATTTTGTTTAACTCTTCATCTAATTCCTTTTTATAACTGTCATTATCATCATCTTCTTCGTCTGATAGCACCAAGTTTGATAAGTCAGCAATCACTCCGACATTTTCTAAATTCAAGTCCTCTAATCTTATTTCAGCCATAATTTTCACTTAATATAATAAGTTAATATTTCTTTAAGTAGTTTTTTATTTTATGTTAAGGGGTGGGGCTTTATATTGAAAAAAATATTTTCTAACAATTTAATATAATGGCGAGATTAACAAAAGACCAAATAATCAGCAACATCTATTACGACTTAGACGAGGGTTTCGGAAGCACACAAGCGACACACAAGAAGGCAAAGGAAGAAGACCCAACAATAACAATAGACGATGTAAAGTCTTTCTTAAAGAAACAACCAAATAAACAAATCAAAAATTATAGAGGTACTAATTCCTATACCGCTCCATTCGCGCGATATGAATATCAAATAGACATAATGCATATGTCACCTTTAGCAAAAGACAAGATCGTTCCACAGTATGCTTTAGTCGTGATTGACATCTTCAGTAAATTAGCTGATGTAATACCGATGGAGGAAAGAGACGGAGAGCACGTTTTGAAGGCGTTGAGAACAAGCTTTAAAAAGATGGGTTATCCGATGTCCGTGTATTCTGATGACGACGGAGCGTTTGCAACTAAAAATCAAGTTCAGGATTTCTTCAACAGTGAAGGAATAAACCACATCGTCACGAAGACCCACGCAAATGTGGCCGAGCGTTTTATTAGAACGATGAAAAACAAAATTCACGATAGAGTTAGGTTTAACAACATGAAATGGACCGATGCCCTAACGCAAGCATTGAAACAGTATAACAGCACATCTCACTCATCAACAAGGATGGCACCGTCTGAAGCACACAAGGACGACAATGAAATAAATGTAAAGGTCAATCTTAAACTACGAGAAAAAAACAAAAGAAAGTATCCCAAAATAGAGGAGAACGACAAGGTAAAAGTGTTCCAAAAGAAAAGGGGTAATTACACCGACAGAAAGGAGTATAACTCTAAATGGTCTAATAAAATATTCAATATTGATAAAATTGAATATGATATTATGGGTAATAAAACTTACAAAGTAGCAGGAATAAACAAACCGCTTTTGAGACACGAAATTTTGTTAGTTAATGATTAAACGTATTTCTTGGTGTCTTCTTTATACTTGACTTGATAGTAATCCAGACTTGATTGTTTAGGTTCTTTTATGATTTTTTCATTCAGTTTTTTAACATAAATGTTTCGTTTATTTTTGTATTCGCTACTGTCTCTATCTACTTCTTTTGCTTGATAATTGTTATTGTTATCATATGTAGGTTTAATATTCAAGCTCTTTAAGATTTTCAGTATGTTTTCATTTTGCTCCAACACTTTTTCTAATCTTGGAAACAACAACTCTAAACTACTGTCAATGTTCGCTAAATGTTCCTCCATATATACTAAATTATAAAACTAAACTTTTAAAACTAAATGTTGCAATTATGTTAAATCTACTCTTTAAATACTAATTTTTCATTATTTGTTTAACAGTTTCCTGAGTTTCCTTATCACCATTATCTGATGGAGTAACTCCCCTCCCAAATCGTATAGCAATATTATGAACATCTGTTTCTAAGTTTATACTGTCTTTAGTTTTATCAATATTCATTTTCTTATCATTTCTACTTATTTTGAAACTTGTCGGAATACACGAACATTTACAGTTTCCTTTCTTTTGTATTTCTAATTCATTTTTCATTTCTAAGACTTTTTTACACATTGGACAAGCAAACTCAATAACTGATGTTTCTTTAACAATTTCTTCATCAGTTGAAGAAACAACTGGTTCAGTCTTTTTTTTCTTCTTTCTTCCCATCTATATTAATATTTATATTTTTAATATATTTTGTATCACAAACTTAATTAATTCTAAAACAAAATAGCATACTTTCTTAAATCTATTATCAGTTATAACAACTTGTTCTATATTTTCTACTTTATCTATTATATCAATATAATCCGAATAACTTCTATTCATATAAAATAATAAATATAAAATATTTTCTAAATAACTTTAATATTATTTTATTATGTCTGATGTTCCAATAATAAAACCAATAATTATAACTGATTACGATTTCAAACAATCTAAATATGATCATGTACCAAAACTACCTTTTCGCTCAATTGTTGTTGCTTCATCAACGGGTGGCAAAACAGTTTTAATTCAAAACCTTATCCTAAATGTTTATAGGGACTGCTTCGCCCGTATATTCATTTTTAGCCCGTCAGTTCATAATGACCCTACCTTCGTTGAAGTCAAGAAATATCAAAAAGATAATATGAAGGTTGATGATGAAAAAGAAAAGTTATATTATGACACCTACCAACCTGAAGAACTGGAAGAAATAATTAACACACAAAGAAAGATAATTCATTATATGAAAGAACAGAAGATGAAGAAACTACATTCAATTTTAATCATTGTTGATGATTTTGCAGACGACCCTAAATTTGTTAGATACAGCAAGTTATTACATGGACTGGCAACGAGAGGCAGACACGACGCCATTAGTTTTTGTTTAAGTGTTCAAAAATATCGTGTCCTTGCTCCAATCATTAGGTTGAATTCTAGTTCGTTGTATATCTTCAAGTTAAAGAATGTATCAGAGTTAATGTCATTCATTGAGGAAAACTCCGCCATCGTTG